CAAAAAAAAAAAAAATTTAAGAGTGTAATTCAATTTTAAGATTGAGGGATTCATTCAATTAATATCAGTTTGGGTGAAATGTTTTTTTTTGTTTCTCTATTTAAACAGTCCAAAAATTGATGTCAAACTCTCTTTTAATCATCTTTTACCTTCTCTAACTCGATCCTAATGATATTTTAAAAGGTAGGTTCGGATCGAGGTTCACTCGTGGCAACATCAACGGTTTTCTCGTGTTTTCTTCAGTTTGAGCTTTCTATCTCCTTTCATTAAGTTCATCTTTTATGGCTTTCTACAGTACTGTTGTTTGCTGCATAGTTTTTGGTTTTATGTGTTTCTTTGTTTTATTTCCGTTTTTGTATAATATCTTAAATCTAGTGTAAATTTTTACATTTTAACAAAACAAAAAAGTTAAGAGTGTAATTCAATTTTAAGATCGAGAGATTCATTCAATTAATGTTAGTTTGGTGAACTTTTTTTTTTTGTTTATCTATTTTAAACAATCCGAACATTGGTATCAAACTCTCTTTTTGTCATCTTTTACCTTCTCTAACTCGATGTTAATGATATGTTAAAGGCCACGGTAAGATAGCAGTTCACTCGTGGCAACATCGACGGTTTTCTCGTGTCTTCTTCCGTTAGAACGTTCTAGCTCCTTTGGTTTGTTTCATCTTTTGTGGTCTTCTCGAATATTGTTGTTTGCTGGCTAGTTTTTTTTTTAGTTTTATATATCTCTTTGTTTTATTTCCGTTTTTGTAAAAAATCTTAAATCTAGTATAAATTTTTACATTTTACCAAAAAAAAAATAATAATTCTATAATTCTATTTTAAGATCGAGATCAGATCCATTCAAGAAATATTACTTTGTGTGAACTTTTATTTTTGGTTTATCTATTTGAAACAGTTTAAATATTGATTTCAAACTCTCTTTTTTGTCATCTATTACCTTATTTTACTCGATCATAATGACATTTTAAAGGTTGGGCTCGAATCACGGTTCACTCGTGGCAACATCGACGGTTTATTCATGTCTTTTTTCGTCAGAACTTTCTACCTTCTTTCGTTAATTTCAACTTTTGAGGTTATCTCCTATACTATTGTTTGTTGCATAGTTTTTAGTTTTATGTTTCTCTATATTTTATTTTTGTGTTTGTAAAAAATCTAAAATCTTGTATAAATTTTACATTTTACCAAAAAAAAAAAAAAAGTGAAGAGTGTAATTCAATTTTAAGATCGAGAGATCGATCCATTCAATTAATATTAGTTTGGGTGAACATTTTTTGTTTTGTTTATCTATTTTAAACATTCCAAAAATTGATTTCAAACTCTCTTTTTGTAATCTTTTACCTTCTCTAACTCGAACTTAATGATATGTTAAGAGTTGGGTTCTGATCGTGGTTCACTCGTTGCAACATCGACGGTTCTCGTATCTTCTTCTATCAGAAATTTTGAGCTCCTTTCGTTAATTTTATCTTTTGTGGCCTTCTACAATACTGTTGTTTGCTGCATAGTTTTTAGTTTTATTTTTCTCTTTGTTTTATTTCCATTTTGTAAAAAATATTAAATCTAGTATAAATTTTTACATTTTACCAAAACAAAATATTTAAGAGTGTAATTCAATTTTAAGATCAAGAGATCCATTCAATTAATGTCAGTTTGGGTGAAATTTATGTTTTGTTTATCTATTTTAAACAGTCCAAAAATTGATTTCGAACTCTCTTTCTGTCGTCTTTTACCTTCTCTAACTCGATCCTAATGATATGTTAAAAGCTAGGTTCGGATCGCAGTTCACTCGTGGCAAGATCGACGGTTTTCTCGTGTCTTCTTTCGTCAGAACATTCTAGCTCCTTTCGTAAACTTCATCTTGTGTGGCTTCTACAGTACTATTGTTTGCTGCATAGTTTTTAGTTTTATGTTTTTCTTTATTTTATTTATATATTTGTAAAACAATCTTAAATCTAGTATAAATTTTTACATTTTACCAAAACAAAAAAATTAAGAGTGACAACGCTTTTAACTTTTGTCTGTTTTGGTGACTAGGCCTTTAAGCGGCATCTCTCTCTAAAAAGAGTTTGCCCTAGCCGTCAAGACAAAGTTCCACCGAAGGTTTCTCTTTTGCTTTCTTAATCGGCGGCAAGTTTGGGTCACTAGGTGATGCGGCGGTGGGCTTCTTCTCTTCTCCGGCGGCGTTGGGTGTGGTAGATCTGGTCTCGATGCATCTTGGTGGCTTTCTCCACGACGCTCTGAGTGGTTGCTCCTTCATGGCTCCGTTCTTGCTGGCACGAGGACACTGGCAGGAGTTTGGAGTGACCTCTCGCGGCTCGGCGGCTGGTGGTTTGGCTCTGAGATGCGGCGGAAGTCGGGATCTAGATCGGTGGGATTGTTGCTTGTGAAGGGATTAACTGTGGATCTCGGCGGATCCTAGATGGCTAGTCATGGAGATCGGTGGCTGACGGTTTGATTGAGCCAACGGCCGTCCTCCGCCGCTGTGATTTAGCGTTCCCTTCACCGGATTGAAGTTTAGCTAGCCTAGGAGGGTTCAATGGTGGATATTATCGGAGAGGAGGGTTCGATGTCGAGTTCTCTCGCCTTGCTAGGTCGGGGAGGCGAGAGATCGGGTCTCGGAGGTCGCTCTAATCTATTCCGGGAGAAAAGCTCCGGGTAACGGTGGGATGTGGCTTCAGCGTGCGGCGGGAACTGCTAACTCCGGTCAAGGGCTCGAGGTCGTCTTCCTCGGTACAATGGAGTAGGTCTTGTTAGCAACGGGGATGGTAGATTAGATTAGCGTTTCCGGTGTACCGCCCGTTTTCAGATCTCTTTTCCGGTAATGTTCCGATTTGGGCTTTCCGTTTTGTACATGTATCTACCTTTTGGCCCAATGGCCCATAAGCCCTTTTGGGATGAATAAAAAGTTACTATTAAAAAAAAAATTAAGAGTGTAATTTAATTTTAAGATCTAGAGATCCATTCAATTAATATGAGTTTGGGTAAAAAATTTTGTTTTGTTTATCTATTTCAATCAATCCAAAAATTGATTTCAAACTCTTTTTTGTCATCTTTAACCTTTTCTAACTCGATCCTAATTATATGTTAAAGATTAGGTTCATATCGCGGTTCACTCGTGGCAACATCGACGGTTTTCTCGTGTCTTCTTCTATCAGAACTCAGAACGTTCTAGCACCTTTTGTTAATTTCATCTGTTGTGGCCTTCTATAGTACTATTGTTTGCTACATAGTTTTTATTTTTATGTTTTTCTATGTTTAATTTCTGTTTTAAAAATCTATGATATAATTTTTTACATTATGCCAAAATGAAAAGAAGTTAAGAGTGTAAATCAATTTTAAGATCGAGAGATCCATTCAATTATAATTAGTCTGAGTGAACTTTTTTGTTTTGTTTATCTATTTTAAACAGTCCAAAAATTGATTTTAAACTCTCTTTTTTGGTCATCTATTACTTTTTCTAACTCGATCCTAATGATATGGTAAGACTAGGTTCGGATCGCGGTTCACTCGTGGCAACATCGACGGTTTTTTCGTGTCTTCTTCCATTAGGTTGTTTTAGCTCCTTTCATTGATTTCATCTTTTGTTGCCGTCTGCAGTGCTGCATAGTTTTTTAGTTTTTAAGTTTCTCTTTGTTTTATTTCCCTGTTTGTAAAAAATTTAAAATCTACCAAAAAAAAAAAAATAAGAAAGTAATTCAATTTTAAGATCGAGAGATCCATTCAATTAATATCAGTTTTGTGGCCTTCTGCAGTACTGTTGTTTGCTGCATAGTTTTTAGTTTTATGTTTCTCTTTGTTTTATTTATGTGTTTGTAAAAATCTATATTCTAGCAAAATTTACCTTCCTAAATTCGTCTCTAAGCTCAAGTTAGTTAGAAGAGAGAAAGATATTGACACTTTCTTAAATATCTACTTTTATTTGTTCTTATACTTCGGTCACGAATATTCAATCCCTAAAACCCAATAAATAGTAGTATATATATGACCAGTAATCAATTTTAGAAAAATATAAGCAAAATTTTCAATCAAAGAATGTAAATATAAATGTCCAAGCACGATTAAGCTTCACGGTAGCTTCTGGGAGTGCTCTACGAGAAGGTGTATGTGTTACATCTTGAGATATTTGTTTAGGCCAAACGGTCCTCGCCATTTCTTGTATGAAAGGCTGGACTGTCACAATCAAACTCTCCGCCTGCCTGATCATCTCTATCAACCGTCTCGGCAAAAAAGAAATGAAATGTGTGCTTTTAAATTTTGATATGAGTAACAATTGCATAGTTTTATCAAATTCCATTACCATATTTAACATTGTTAAATGCAAAGAACTTGGAGTGATGTGATATAGTTCCCTTTTTGCATATTTTAGTGATCATGAAGTATATATTTCAAAGCTATTATTTCTTTTTATCATCTAAAAAGGATAAGCAAAATGTACATGAACAAAGTTTTAGCCCCAAGGCAAAACAATAAATACAACAAATAAACTTGGACAAAACATCCAAAAACACTTGATTATGAAGCCCTAGATCGGTCCTGGACATAGCAGAGTGAAACATTTGCTCTCGCCCCAAATTTTTTCAGAGAAGTTTTAGCAAAACTTATTTACAAAACCATCCTTATTTTATTTATTCTTACGATAATTGGCCCCAATTTTAAACCTTTTAAAATAACTTTAAATTTTTTCTTGGAGCATTTGACCCCCAAATGAAACCACATTATCCCTCTAATTATGATTAGAAGTTTGGAACCGCCCTAATCTTGGCTATCGTCCGTACAATTAAACTAGCCGATCGATGAATAAATCAGAGAGGATTTCACAAATCTCAAAAAGGTTCCAAATCTTGCAAATAACTCTTCGTACGGATATCACTATCATTGTCTACTTAAAATCAGTTAAATGAAAATGATCATCACTATCATTAATGGGCCTTAAGAACATGCAAATATGAAGTGGGCTTAAAAGGCCCATTAAAGTCCTCACGAGAAACCTTGCTTTCATTTTCATCGCAGTTCATTGTTCAACAACAACAACAGGGGTTTTTTTGATTCTCTGTCTTGTCCAAAGAGATGTTTCAGATTTCAAAGACCAAACTTTGTTTCCCACTCTCAACATTCACCAAGAGATACTCCTCATTTCAAGCTACTCAATCGGTGATCGACAAGGCTGCAATCGATGGGGAGCTGAGAGTTTTCATTGTCTCCGGCGAAGTTTCCGGCGATAACATCGGTTCTCGTCTTATGTCCTCGCTTAAAAAGCTCTCTCCTTTACCCCTTCGTTTCAATGGAGTTGGAGGGTAAGCACTTGGGTTTTCCCCAATTAGGAAGATTCTTATGAAAAGTTTTGATTCTCAGTTGAAAATTCCATAAATTTGGAACATTTGTTTCTAACAATTTGATGTTTAATACGGTGGTAAGATCCTTGATGTGCAAGCAAGGGTTAACTTCTTTGTTTCCAATGGAAGATTTAGCTGTAATGGGTATGTGGGAGCTTTTGCCACATTTGTATAAATTCCGTGTGAGTAATTTACTTAACCTTTTGAATGTTTTGATATAAAGCTACTCTAGATCATTTTGATTGAATACTTTAGTTTTGAGATTTCAGGTGAAGTTGAAGGAGACTATTGATGCTGCGGTTAAGTTTAAGCCACATGTTGTTGTGACTGTTGATTCAAAGGGCTTCTCTTTTCGTGTACTTAAGGAGTTACGAGGTAAACAACACAAAACTTGTAAGAGAGAGTCATTGAGCTTTAGTGAATATAATGCTTGCTAAACAATGTTGCTTAGCGACTAAGACATACTAAATTCAAACCTTCATTGCGGTTTTCGAAAAGCACAGTTTTGTTGAATTGTACCAAAGATATATGTATGAAAACTTCTTCTTGTTTATGCGTAATGTGACTTTAATGTCTAGGATGATGTCCTTGAAGTTTTTTTCGGAAGAAGAAATTGAAAAAGTAAAGAAATGGGAACCTTATAAATGGCTTTTCGGAGCCAAAAATTCCTGAATGAAGTCACATATATCATGTAGGACAATGGAGGAATGCTTTTTGGCTTTGCAGCTAGATACAATCGGCAGCAGTTGGAAAATTCTCCTGTGCATTTTCACTATGTTGCACCGTCGTTCTGGGCTTGGAAAGGAGGAGAGTCAAGACTTGGAGGTCTGTCTGAATTCGTTGATCATCTTTTTTGCATTCTTCCGAACGAGGAAAAGGTTTGTAGGGAACATGGGGTTGAAGCAACCTTTGTTGGACATCCTGTTCTTGAGGATGCTTCTGAGTTCAACCTTGTATGCGGTTTCTTCCTCTTCTTCTTGAATTACCTCAGTTTCTATGATACTCTCTCAGATTCCTTAGTGAAATTGGTGCTCATTGCTGCCACAGGTGAGGACGTGCAAGCCTCAGGAACTGAAACTTGAAGGCTTGAGTATCAGCGAACACTCAATACCTTCCGGTAGTGTGAAGTTTATCTAAATGATTAACCTTTTCTACAGATTGGATATTAACTTTTGTTGATTTCTCATTGTTCTTTTGCTGCATTGCATAACTTTTCATGAAACAAGACTCCACTGTCATTTCGGTGCTACCAGGGAGCAGATTACAAGAAGTTGAAAGAATGCTACCCATATTTTGTAAAGCAATGAAGCTACTCAAAGACCCGTTTCCAAAACTACTAACGCTCATCCATGTTGCATCCAATAATCAAGTTGATCATTACATTGGAAAATCCCTCAGTGAGTGGCCAGTTCCAGCAATACTAGTCCCTAGTGGAACCACTCAGCTTAAATATGATGCCTTTGGCGTAAGTCTCCGAAACCACGTTCTCAGTGTCTCTTCTGTTTTGGTCCTCTCATTGTGCGGTGTTCTGTAATAACAGGTGAGTCAGGCTGCATTATGCACTTCAGGAACAGTTGCTGTTGAGTTGCAGCTTGCTCGTCTACCTTCCCTTGTTGCTTACCGAGCACATTTTCTAACAGAGCTAATAATCCGTTACAAAGCCAAGATACCTTATATTTCTCTTCCAAACATTCTCCTAGACTCCCCAATCATTACTGAAGCTTTGTTTCAAGCTTGCAACCCTTCAAATCTCGCCTCAATACTAGAGTATATCTTTTTCTTTTTACCACTTTTACTTTATATTATGTTATCCGGCAAATGAGAATGGGCATGATGATGATGATGATGATGTGAGATATTGTTTGAAATTGTAGGAGACTACTCTTGGATGAAAAGATGAGAGAAAGACAAGTTGTTGGTGCTGAGAAGTTGATACAGCTCTTGCATCCGTCAGAAAGCAGAATGGGCAACTCAATTCATTGCACTGGTTTGGAATCTCATCGATATACACCAAGCATTTTAGCAGCTTCGACTATTCTTAGTTATGTCAAGCACTAAAAACTCTCGTCAATCATATTCCTTGCTTGTAACACTTAGCTTTTTTGGTCATACATTGTCATAACTCATAAGGACCCCCCTTGTTTGACACTAGAGTACATTGAGATTATTTTCTCAGCTCTGTTATTCTTGCTATATGTTGGAATTTTTATCATAAGAGTTCTAACATATGATAAATTACAGTTAAAGGCGGTTACGATCCGTGTTGATTAGATTGTCTAAGCTTATTTGGTTTGAAGTCTAAGACAAACAGACAACAAGGGCTTTGGAAAGCATAAAAGGATAAAGTGAAAGTATTGAATGTCTTAGCTTATTTGCTTTGGAGGCTAAGACAAACAGGTAAGATCCCACCTAGTGGGGCTTTTCATAACTGGTATAATGGTATTTCGCTGTAAAGATAGATACAGAATCATGGGAGAATGAAGAATAAACCAGACAAAGATGCTTTCCTTGAACATAGAGATAGATGCAAAAACACCAAAACAAGAAAGATTCATCTCATGTTATCAAACCCCAAACTCTCTCAAGCAATGCACCAATCTCCATGTACAAAAAAAAAAGAAAAAGAAACATTCTCACAACAGTATATTTGTTGATGAAAATTCTTGCAAGAGTATGATTCTCTGGTTCTAAGAGCCATCCATGGTGATATCACCACCGGTTGTTGGCTTTGGTGGAGTTGCTCCAAAAGTGAACTCTTGAGGAGGGATACTTGAAGCAGGAGATGAAAATATAGAAGAAGTAGGAGCATTGTTGAACACAGGTGCTTGCGCTTGATTATCAATCTTAGGGAAACCAAACCCAAATGTTGGAGCATCGTTGATATTCATCGCCGACATCATCCCAGATCCGAATATCGACTGCTCAAACTCCTGCAGTTGTTGGTAAAACTCTGTGTACAAAGAAAAAGAAATGAGCAACAGTTTCAAGAACGATAACTTTCTAATCCGAAGTCTAAATACTTGCCTGGACTTATGTCCGTGGTTGGTCTCCGTTGTTTAACCCACTGATGACTCTCAGCGAGTCTCCACCCTTTACGTTTCATCAAGTACGCTATAACAACCGCCGGTGATCTGTCATGTAATCGAAACACAAGAAGGATTAAGACTCAAAACATACCACTGTATTAGTCTAAATAATTCATGGCAATAAGCAGCCGCAAATTTAGATGATAATAAGAGAATGATAAATGTACTCACCTACTTTTCCCAGACATACAATGCACAAGAACACGTGCCTTGTCCTTCTCACATTGGTCTACACAGTATAACACCAAAACATGGATTAAAAAACAAAAAAGATCAAATCCACTGTTGGAAAATAGGATTTAAGAGATAGAATCTCAAACCTAAAAACTTGATAGCATCATCAAACTGTAAAACTTTTTCATTATCAAGACCATGATAAGTGAATGAATTCCTGTAGAGATTCTGGCACATAGGAACCGTCTGAAACAGAGCAACAAAAACAGAGTCAATACCAAAAAAAAAAAAACACATTCCTCTCAATTATCAATTACCATAACAGGAATTTTAACAGAAACCATAAGTCAACAAAAGTAATATTCATCTACAAAGCAAAATCCTAATTCAACACAACAATTTTGCTAATATCAAGAACCAATTCAAGAATTACTTAAAGGTCTTATCTTTTTCTTATGGGTCATCAATGTTTAAAACAAAACCAATTCAAGAATTCAAATCAAACCAAAGAAACTCACATTAAGAACACGAGAAATCCCCTGAGTCTTAAGAAGCTCAGAGCGAGAAGCGTTGTCGTAACTACCGAGGTAAAGAAACTCCGGGAGAATCTCCGACGGAAAAGCACTGACGTGGACTTGTTGCGCCGCCACAGTATCGGAAGAAACAGGCATACAGTGACCACAGATTCCACATACTTCACCTTCTTCGTACTTATGGTAATGCCCACAAATCGAACAAGGGTTCTCTCTTTCTCTCTTCCTCATAATCAAATTCTTAGATCCGATTTCTGATCAAAACCCAGATCAGAGAAAACCCTTGATTTCACAGACGGAGAAAATTAGGGTTTGGGTTTGGAGAATTTTTTTGAACGGAAGAATTGGGAAGGAGAAGACTTGAGAGAGTTTTTTGTGAGAGGAAAAAAAAAATATGAAGAATTGTTTTCTTCTTCGATGGGATTAATACGATTCGGATAGATACGTGCCACGTGGAGTTTAGATTTGTGTAAATCTTCTTTAAACACTTTGTGAGTTTCATTCAGTTCTGTAAGATACGGGTGAGATCTAACTGAGTCAAAATTGTTAACTTAACATTTATTGCAAATTTACTTTTATTTTTATTTTTCAGGATTTACCAAAAGAAAAAAAAAAATTTCCTTTTTCTTTTGTTCAACGACTTTTTTTCTTCTTGGATTTTGTTAATTTTAATAGGGATTTTGTTTTATGCACTTTCATTACTCATTAATGTTAACTAGGTTTTAGAGGTAAAAGTTAAGTAATAGAGTTGTAATTTTTCATAAATCTAGTTGGCTGACAAGAAATAGTTTATTTAGTAAATTAGTTGAATTATTATGGCAAACTTTATTAATTTATTTACTTAATTAATTTACTTTATATAAATAGTAGAAAATCAAAGTTGTGATCATTTGACTCGAAAAGGGATTGGCGGTCAGATATTCGTTCGAGTTCCGATTGGGTATTTCGGATTTTGGGTTTAGAGGTATAAAACCAATTTGGGTATTTTTAGATTTTGGATTTGGATCGGCTTCAGGTCTGATATTTCGGGTTCGGATTACCCGAAATTCCCCAAAATCAAAGTTGTTATAACAAAAATCTATCAAAAATACCCGAAAAACGTAAAATATCTCAAAACTTTGAACATTTTTTACCCAACTTTAACTCAAAAATAGATTAAATATCCAAAATATCCAAATATCCAAATATTTTGGACACTTATGTATTATAAATATAAATATTCATAATATATTATGGAATATTACTATGGCTTTAAATTGTGTGTATGTTTAGGTATCTATTCAGGTATCTGTTCGGGTTTGAATCAGATTCGAATTTAGGTTTTTGGGTTTAGAGGACTATAATCTGTTTTGGATCTTTTAAACTTCGGGTTTGGATTTGGATCGGGTTCCGATTTGGACACCTCTAGGAAAACCTCCTATAAATGCACGATTTGATGATTAATCAGTCTGGTTAATGCAAGAATTAATAATTAATTTCCGGGTGAACCGATTGATTGGCTAATTAGTTAACTAAACCGTTTTTTTTTTTTTTCTAGAGGAAAAAATAATCTTAAATCCCTGATAATTCTCAAAGCTCCACTCTTTCGCCGTTGTATCCACCCATCATCGCCGTCGTCTCCGTCACGGTCGCTGTGAAATGGCGACCTCTTATCTCCGTAGACACTTGAGCTCAAGTCGTCTCCGCTTGACCCGCTTCATCACTACTTCTTCTCATCCTTCACATCGCCGTGTTGTTGTCACTGGTCTCCTTCTCACTCCATTTCCATGTCGTCACATATACTTATATTTGTAATTTCTCTGATTAGACATTGTTCATGCAGGTCTAGGCATGGTGACTCCACTTGGGAGAGGCGTTGAAACAACATGGAGGCGTTTAATTGATGGAGAGTGTGGGATTAGAGGATTGACTCTTGATGATCTAAAGATGAAGTCTTTTGATGAAGAGACAAAGTTGTATACTTTTGATCAGCTTTCTTCTAAAGTTGCTGCTTTTGTGCCTTATGGATCAAACCCTGGTGAATTTGATGAGGCCCTTTGGCTAAACTCTAAGGTATCTATTTCTTCGTAAATAAACTAGCTTTGCAAGTTATTAGGACAGAATTACTAGGAACACAGTCAAATATCATGTTGTATCATAAAGTTTTAGATTATGTTGTGGTGAATTTGGTTAGAAGCATTGCTTGTTGCTTGCTATTCACAACATTGTCTCACTGAGCAGCAATGTCTTTGTACCTTTTCATGGAGGAAACATTTTTTGGATTAGTGCTTCTCATTTTCTGTCTTTTGGAAGCTTGATATGGTTTTTCAGAGATATTCATAAGCCATAAAGTTAAAGGTTCTATTATTGTTCTTTTTGAATCATGGAGGCAGTTGCGAATTTTATTGGATATGCTTTATGTGCGGCTGATGAAGCGTTGAGAGATGCAGAGTGGTTACCAACTGAGGAGGAAGAAAAAGAAAGAACAGTTAAGTAGTCCTTTTCTGTTGTACATCATATGATGAGGAATTGTGCTTTTTAGTTTTTCTTCTCTGATTTTGGAAATTTTGGAATACCAGGGAGTCTCTATTGGTGGTGGAATTGGAAGTATAAGTGATATTGTGGAGGCAGCGCAGCTGATTTGTGAAAAGGTTAGACCTTTATGTTGTCTTTGCATCATTTTCTCAGGAATTACAGATTTTAAGGATTGTTTTATCTTAGTTGCTTTTAAGACTTAACGATTATGGTGATGCAGAGGCTGCGGCGGCTTAGTCCGTTTTTCATTCCAAAAATATTGGTAAACATGGCATCTGGTCATGTGAGTATGAAGTATGGATTTCAGGTGCGTTGAATTTTTCAATTTTCTTTTATGCAAAATAGTATGAACATCTTAGGTTATTCAATATTTGTTAGCTTAGAGTTCTGCAACACTTCCTTTGGGTATTTTGGTACAAAAAAAGCTCCAAAATTGACAAGTTGTTATGATAACGAGGGAATTTGGAATTTAAATAGGTGAAGAACATGAGCTAATATGGATTGGAAATGACTTTGATACCTTAATATGTTGAGATTCTCCATTGAATGCTTAATTATAAGGAGGTTTGTTAAAATAGTCCAAATATTGAGGACTATTCGTTTCTACTCCAGAACGTGTCTAGAATAGTCCTCTGATGTTCTTAAGTAGAAAACCGTTTGCATAGCATTGCCATGCTTTTGAATATAGGGGCCAAACCATGCTGCTGTGACAGCTTGCGCAACTGGTGCACACTCTATAGGGGATGCCACTAGGATGATTCAATTTGGAGATGCAGATGTTATGGTGGCAGGTGGAACTGAGTCCAGCATTGATGCTCTGTCCGTTGCTGGATTCTCTAGGTAACTAATGATCGGTCTCACACGCTTTTTGTGTATAAAAAAGCTCATTTCTTTCTTGGAAACAAAAGGCATATGGTCCAGTGTCAGCAGATTACTATCCACTGTCAGTGCGTTAATGCCTAAAAACTATGCTACGTCATCTTAGATAGGCACAGAGCCACAGACACAACAAACACAAATGTTTAAATGAAATTTTGAACCTTTTTTCAGATCAAGGGCTTTGTCAACTAAATTCAATTCTTCTCCACAAGAAGCTTCACGGCCTTTTGATTGTGACCGGGATGGTTTTGTGTAAGTCACATTCTTCGTTTTTTATGTGGAAAACCCCTGTTTTGGCGATGTTGATTCCATCCTTTTTGATTTGGTTGCAGGATAGGGGAAGGTTCAGGGGTTATAGTATTAGAGGTAAAATTTTATGGAAGAAGATATGTCCTTTACCTAAACTCTGGAGTCTTGGATAGTCACCCCCTCAGCTGTTTTTTGATCCTAATATATAATCTTTGTTTTTATTTCTGGTTATAACGAAAGGAATATGAGCATGCAAAAAGACGCGGAGCAAAGATTTATGCTGAGCTTTGTGGATATGGGATGTCAGGTTAAGCTCATAGATAATAGTAAAACGAATTTTGCTTTCATAGATAATAATAATAAAAACACATTTTGGATTCATTAAGAATGAATCTTCTTGATAAATAGGCGATGCACACCATATTACTCAACCTCCTGAAGATGGAAAAGGAGCTGTTTTGGCCATGACACGTGCCTTACGACAGGTAAGCTCCATATTATTAATCATCGGCCTTGGTTAACTGCAGTTTTGTTGTTATGGTACTCCTACAATGGTTTCTGTTGATGATCATTTATGATTCTGGTTTTAGCAGTTTGAATTCTAATGATTTGGTTAAATGTCCATGACTTTTCAGTCTGGTCTCTGTCCTAACCAAGTTGATTATATAAACGCACATGCAACATCAACCCCAATAGGTAAAAAGATTGAAACTTTGTGTTGGTTCGCTTTGGTTTTACAAAAACTGAACTGATGATTGTGTTATCAAATCCAATTTCTAGGCGATGCCGTGGAAGCAAGAGCTATCAAGACCGTTTTCTCTGAAAATGCTACATCAGGAACCTTGGCATTCTCCTCCACCAAGGTAAAAAATGCCCCATGTTTCTTATTCACATGATGTTACTGAAGAGTTTGACTTATAGTCCAAGTGATAAATAAATAAGAGAGGAGACTTTGTCTCAAACTGTTGTCTTTAAATGATATTACTTATTTTGACTGAAGGGGGCTACTGGTCATCTTCTTGGAGCAGCTGGAGCAGTGGAAGCTATTTTCAGTATCCTTGCTATACATCACGTAAGCATTCTCATTTCTTACTTCTGTGTTCTTGTTTGATGATTAAGGTTTTGTAACCTAACAAGAACCTGCAAAAACTTTGTAGGGGGTTGCTCCGCTGACGCTGAATGTCAAGAATCCAGATCCCATGTTTGACCAGAGTTTCATGCCTTTAACCACTTCGAAAAAGATGCTCGTTCGGACAGCAATGTCGAATTCGTTTGGCTTTGGAGGAACAAATGCATCTTTGCTCTTTGCCTCAATCTAAAGTTGTGTAAACGGCGTAGCAAAGGTTTTGAACTGATCTTTCTTTGATTGCATAGAAGATTACATTAGCGAGTTCCCTATGAAATTACAGATAAAGACCTTTTCTTGCAATATCCTTTTAAAGGAAGTTTTTAGCACTGATATTAAATGATTCAGATAAACACAAAGTTTGAAACTCTAAAATAAAATTGTTTAGTTCTCTATCAAAACGCTGAGGTAAAACAAAGCAACAAGATGGGCTTATATAGTAGTCTAGACCACAAACAGTCATTTGCACTGAGAATGACAATCTAAGATTGTTTATAAGGGGCAACTGTGGCAGCATACATACAGAGGTGAAGCTACACATAAGATCACTGGGCAGTGAAACATCTGATAATACACATCTTATTGAAATAAGAGTTCAAAGAACATGACCAAGATAAATTATGTAGAGCTTGTTTAGTCACCTCTTTTCCTTTTACCTTGAGCTCGCTTGATTTTGTCCAAACTTGGAACATAATTAAGAATAGCTGGCCAACATAATTCCACTTTATCAACTCCAAAATCCACTGTTGTGACTATATTATCCTCACCAACAATGTATATAATGTTTTTGGTATCGCCTTCATCTTCAACATCAATCAATGTGTCACAATACACCAAGACTTTCTTCTCCTCATATAGCAAGAAACTTGCATCATGCGAAATTTCAAAATCAGGGCTCAAATCCAATGCTAAGACCTTGCTCCATGACACCACCACTTTGGCGGTCGTCTCATCAATCTTATTTGTCACCCATATCTCAGTCTTGGATCTTCCATCTCGCTGTAATAACACCGCAAGCTTCTCTTCTCTAACAACAGAAAGACATGTAGCTTCAAATGTACTACACTGATAGGGAAGATGCACAGGTAGAGAATTCTCTGTTGAATAATCAATTTTGAGCACGGATACAACGCTTAAGGGCGTTTTTGTTTTATCTAATGCAAACATGTAAGTATTTCCCTTCAAAGACATAGACAGATTAGAGTATCGCAAGCACAAACCTGGACATGTATCACCAAGACTCCTCCATGTATCAGAGTTAAACTCGTAGATTTCAAAAACGTTGATATCACTAGAACAGCTCAGGACTTTGTAGCTCTTATAGCTGTCTTCTTGGCAGTATCCAATATCAAAGATGCCAGAAAGATCGGGGTTTAAAAGTATGAAAGTATATGGAGGGTACTATCCAAGTGACGGCTGTGTACTATCCAGAAAACAGGTTTGCGCAGGACGACGTTGATGGCTGATATATCCGATCCATCTTCTTTTACCATTCTGTCTTGTTCTTGAGTTTCTTTAATCTTATCTTCGTGTATCTTATTTGACGACTTTCTTCATCTTTTATGGTAATGCTATTGCTTGTTTAACAAGTATCCTTATAATCTTGATTTGTTTTTTTCATTTAACTCCATGTTAACTTACATTAGCGAGTTCCCTAAGAAATTACAGACAAAGATGTTTCAAATACCTACTTTTGCTTGCAATATCATTCGAGCTCTCTTAAGAATATCTTGACCTGAAACCTTCTGTAAGAGGAATAACTTTTGCGGATACTTTTGATTGCAACTTAAGCACAGCTTCGCGGATTTCCTGCCATTGCAACCACAAGTATAAGATAAAATACATCATGAGGGACTAAATTTTGTACTAAGAACATGAAGCCAAATTGAGACTCTCACCTCTACGTGGTAACGTGATGAGAAATGCGTTAATAATACAGTTTTGCTTCGGATCCACTTTGCATTCTCAATAATCTGCAATTTTTTCATGGAAAATTCCTCTTACAGTGTACTTCTACAAGTGTGTTTGAACATAAATAGGATCATACCTGAGATATATGAGTATGACCGAGTGCCTGCGCATGCTCAGTGCTAAAACTTTCATCCAAGAAAGTTGCCTGCCAGATCGGTTAAGCTCAGAAACTATAATATAATCCAGTGAAGTTTTAAAATGATATACAGTACCGCCAATAGGATTAAAATAAGTACCTCGGTTATAAGAACTTTTGCCCTCAGTGCATCAGCGTTACGAGGGTCAAGCATATACTCTGCAGTTGTATCTCCAGTGAAGGCTATCTCAGGGGATAATATGGTGTCTGTAATCTGTAATTAAGTTCAACATTGTGTGATTTATCAAACCTCAATATCAAAACTTTCCCTTTTCAAATCACTAGGCAATATGGCTTATTTTAGCAACAAACCTCGACGCCAGACTTTTTAATCTTTTCTATCTGTTTGCCTTTGAGGTGAGCATATTGCTTCTGCAACTTCTTCCTCACCGAGTAAATGACATAACCCTAAAAGAAGCCATAATTCCAGAACTCAATATCAGTAAAAAACAGACGCTCTCATGCCAAATTCACGACATGTAGTACCTGACTCGGTATAACGTGGTGAGTTGCAAACGGTCTAACAACAATATCATTCCGCAACTCATAAGTTTCACCTGCCACCAACAAAGAACTCAGATTTGCAATCTAAACAAGGTTGGTTTTTTACCATTAACAGAAGAAACAAGTCAAGGCTTTTCACTATGTTCATACCTACATCAAGTGGTATCAATTCTACATTCAACTCTACTTGACCCATAGTCCTGTGAATCTCAAGGAGCTTCTCAACATCTTCTTTAATAGATGGTGGCACAAATATTTTCGGTGGCTCAAGATTGTATAAACCACGGCTCGCTACATACATTGGTAGCCCTCCCTGAAAGGAAACACTAAGATTAGCCACAAGATTCATCCAAAAGATCCAATAATTCAATCAAAAGTCAGAAATATCAAACCAAATCCGAAAGTGTGTTAAAAAAAAAAAACTAATCCTTATCCTTTTCAAATTCCTTGAACAATGGCTCGATTTATCGTTGATTCAGATTCATCCAAAAACCCGTAACTCAATCAAAAAGCCGAAACTTTAAACGAAATCTAAAAAGAGGGTTCAAGAAAAACTAGTCCTTATCCTTCCAAATCGCAGAACAATGGCTCAATTTTGAACTAAAATGTATATATTCAACACTAAGTTTCATCCAAAAAGTCGAAACTTTAAACCAAATCTAAAGAGGGTTCAAGAAAAACTAATCCTTATCCATTCAAACATTGAACAAAAAAATGGCTCAATTTTGAACTAAAATGTATCATCAATTCAACACTAAGATTCATCCAAAAACACATACTTCAATCCAAAAGGCCGAAACTTTAAACGAAATCTAAAGAGGGTTTTCAAGAAAGACTCAATTTTGAACAACTCACAATATGATCAAGATGAGCATGAGTGATGAAAAGAAACTTCTGCTGAATAGCACGAGAAGGGCACCTCCCAATATCAAAGACACATTTGAGCTCAGGGACGATAACACAAGTCTCATGCCCACCTACAGAAATCCCCTCAATTGCATAACTCTCCAATTCGACGCCTTTTCGATTAACGGCGGCGCGTGCTTTCCGATACTCTTCTTCTTCCTCAATTGCTCGGCTAATCGATGAGAAATAGCCAGAGACTTTGACAGGACTCACGAAATTGCTACGGTGGGTCTGTATCTGTGCAGCGAGCTGGTGAATAATCACTGGAGGGCCATGATACTTGGTGAAAGGGAAGATTTTGGAAGGTGAAATTGGAAACGAAGAAAGCTGCATCTTCTGGGTTTTACAGAGGTTTTTGGGGTTTGTTTCCTCCTTCACTCAGACATGAAACGATAGAAAATGCAAAGAACGGCCTTTCTTGGGATTGAGTGAGACCGAATTGAACCGATCTAGTACATATTTATAGCTCCGGTTTAATGCTGGTTAGGTTAATTAAGGATTGTTTTTCGGTTACTTCTGATTGAAAAATAGAAAAGCATTTTCACAAATCTTTTTGTTCATGAACTCTTTCAAGGTATCATAGCTTTTCTTCTGGTCATTCTGGTGATTTCACTGGAATTACTTGTAGTTCAGAGTTTCTTGAAGAACATGGTGAAACAACAACATTCTCAAAGATCGGAAAGAAAAATACTTGGGTTCACGGTGAACCCTTATATCCACCCTCTTTATGATAGCTTTTACTTAGATTCACTTCTAGAGGTGAACCTTTTTATTTACTCCCTATTTTTCTAACCAATCAGAACTTGTCACCTAATTAAAATAACAAAATAAAAATTTAATAAGTTATATAACGATTTGGATTTATAAGGAGGGTTAGGGTTTATATTTTACAATCAAACGAGATTAAATATCGGTTTGGCTGTATAAAAAAAGTTTGGATTTAGATTTTACAATTAAACGAGGTTATATGTCGGTTTGGGTTTATCAGAGATGATTAGGGTTTATATTTTTACAATTAAATGAAGTTATATGTCGGTTTAGGTTTATAGAATAGGGTTAAAATTTATATTTTCTAATTAAACAAGATTATATATCGATTTGGGTTTACAAAAAAGTGGTTAGGATTTAGATTTTATAATTAAATTGGTTAAATGATTGTTTTGATTTTATAAAAGAGTGATAAAGGATTTAATTTTACAATTAAATAAAGGGTTTATAATTACCTTACCCTTATGGGTGAACACAATAATTGTTCTATAAATAAAGAACTTTATGTTTATCACAATCAAAAAGAATGAATGTTATCGCTCTCTACATTTCTTTCTTGTCAAGTAGGAAAAATTAAGGAAAAACTAAGAAATCTACCACATTTCCCCCAATTCTTTCCAAATCTACCACATTTTTAACTTCCTTTCCAGTCCTACCACATTTGATATGGGAAGTTACTATTTTGCCCTCTCTTTCTCTTTCTCTTTATGTTTATTCTTTAAATTTTTTTCTTTTCTTTTCTTTCTCTCACTCTTTTTCTCTCTCACATTATTTTTTCTTTCTCTCACTTATAGATATATATACATATATATCTATGAAGTTTTCTTCTTCTTTTTCTTTTCACATGATTTTTTTCTCTCCTACAAAATATAAATCTGGGTTTGAAAATAGTTTATTAGTTATATAGTTTTGGTCCACGACATTAAATCGGCTACACATTTAGATCTGGGTTTCTTCTCATATGAACTTGTCCCCGATCTAATTTTATTACTCATTTGATCTGAACTTATCCTCGATCTAATTCTGGTACTCATTCGATATGAACTTGTCCCCAATCTAATTATATTACTCATTCCATATGAACTTGTCTCCGATATAATTATATTACTCATTCGATCTGAACTTGTCCATGATCTACTTTTATTACTCATTCGATATGAACTTGTCCTTAATCTAATTCTATTACTTATTCGATATGAACTTATCCCCGATCTAATTCTATTACTCATTCGATTTGAACTTGTCCTCGTTCTAATTATATTACTCATTCCTATGAACTTGTCCCCGATATAATTATACTACTCATTCGATCTGAACTTGTCCCCGATCTAATTATATTACTCATTCCATATGAACTTGTCCCCGATTTTAATTTAATATTGTCTAATATATTAAGAGAGCAATTGTAAACGTGCAGCATTAAATGCAGACTGCTCCCTCTTGTCCCAAGTTGTCACTTTCTCTGACACACACTTCTCTCTCCATCAAGGGCAATTTCGTCCGGCTTTAGGCATGTGGCAACAAAATGTGGTACATTTGGAAAGCTTTTCCCAAATGTGGTAGATTTGGAATGCCACATTTCAAAATGTGGTAGATTTAGTCAAATTCCCAAAAATTAAATAGTGAAAATATTATATACACTGAAATGAAAAAAGCATAAACAACTTTCTATCCTTCTCCTATCTATTCAAAAAATGGGATAATTCGAGATTAAAATCAAATAACATCAAATAATTTTTACCTTTTTAAAGTTTGAAATTAATATATATATATATATATATGATATTTATTTATCTATGACATATATAAATCACTATCATAATATATAAATATGAAGATATATATATATATATATTAATTTATAATATAGATGTGATCATATGTTTACATAGAATTTTCAAAAAAGTTATTATCTTATTAATTTATCGATTTTGTATCTTGTTTTTACATTGTTCCTAATTCGAGACCGAAAAAATTTATTAATCTGTAGAGATTATTAATGTATCGAGTATTAATTTATAAAAGTTTTATTTTAGATTTTTTAAATCCAAAATTGAGCTTACACTCAAACCGAACTAACTATTTTTCAATAAAACCAAATTGGAAAATCAAAGTTGTGAAAAACCAAAAATTAAACCAAACCAAATGTCTGATTGAATGAGTGGTAAGGTTCCGTAATAAAACCTAAAACTAAGGGCAATCAAAACACGTGTACTTTATTTTATAAACAGATTTCTGGAGATATCCAGAATATTTTCGCAGCCGCAAGCTACAAAACTTTTGATCCTAAATTCAACAAATTTCTGAATCTATCGCTTCCAAGAGTTCTCTAGCTTAATCTCAGATTCAAATCGTTCCTTAGTGGTGAGCTTCGTGTTCTATATTAATTCAATTCCTCTCTTACTCCTGATTCTCGATTTAGGGTTTTCAGTAATTGAGTCGGCGGCGAAGTTCTTTATCGCCGATCGATCTTCGTTATCAGAATATATTGATCACAAATTGTTGGGTTTTGTTGGATTCTTGTCAAGTTTTGATTTTTCCTCAATCCGAATTCAAAGTTACGATTTTTATTGAAAACCCTAGATTGGTATCTTCAATAGCATAGCTTAATCGTTAGTCTTAGGTTCTTGTTTCATTCGCGACTTAAAGGTTCTTGTTTTGGTATCTGGTTTTAGTTTTGGAGTCTTGTGTAGTTTATAAGAGAGAAGAGTTTTGCTTTGCATGTTTAAAGGAAGAATCTTGAACTGAAACTCTGTATGATTTGTAGATACCATGCCGAAGAACAAGGGAAAGGGAGGAAAGAACAGGAAGAGAGGAAAGAACGAAGCGGACGACGAGAAGCGTGAGCTTATATTCAAAGAAGATGGACAAGAATACGCACAAGTTCTTCGTATGCTTGGTAATGGAAGATGTGAAGCTATGTGTATTGATGGAACCAAGCGTCTTTGCCATATCCGTGGTAAGATGCACAAGAAGGTTTGGATTGCTGCAGGTGACATTGTACTTGTTGGTTTGAGGGATTACCAAGATGACAAAGCGGATGTGATTCTCAAGTATATGTCTGATGAGGCTAGGCTTCTTAAGGCTTATGGTGAGCTTCCAGAGAATACTCGTCTTAATGAAGGAATTGTTGGTGATCTTGAAGATGATGATGATAACAATGGTGATGACTATGTTGAGTTTGAGGACGAAGATATCGATAGGATCTAAGGCTTTGTTTGTGTTTTTTTTTACGGCTTGTATTTTCAATTTGAGAGGTATGACTTCTGTTGTTGCAAGATACTTACTATTTTGTATTTTGTTCTCCAATATCTCTATTGCTGGTTGGCTTTGTGTTCTTGTTGCATAATTTTGTTTTTCTTCAGATTCCATTCAAAAAATAGTGTGTCACTGTTGCTTTAGAGCTCTTGAGTGTAGCTGAATCGAAATAATTATGCAAATGCTGAAGCTGAAAGTGTAAATCATTTTCAGCTTAAGAGACTAAAACAGAGTAAGAGAAGCCTTTTATGCTTCATGAATCATTCTAGCAAGAATACAGCCTTTTATGTGTTGACATACCATGACCAAATGACTTGCGTATGGAGAAAATGGTTCTCACTCCTCACTAAATCTCTTGTAACATCCATAGATGTGATTAGATAGTGGATTGAAGCAGATACAGAACATGACACAAGTTGAAAGATGAAGATGAATCACTGAGCTAAATCCAGTTGGTGTACCGTGGAGGTTTCGATCCAATCATTGACCTTATTCGTCTTTCATTCATGTTCCAGTGGTTCATAGATAAAGACATTTGATTTCTTAACTCATCATCCTTTCCAAATTGGTTGTTTTTGCTCTCTTATTTTCCTGTTTAAAAAGTTTCCAGCTTGACATAGAAAGCATTATGTTGCATGGATTCATATGAAGGACATATGAATGAAATCTAGGAATTGAAGGGAGAAAAACAAAGTGACCACATACATAAAAGTGGGCACCAAAAATACAGAATCCATTCGTCGTAAGAGAGAAAATTATATACTTCTCCTGCCGAATATGAATACTAAAGATAGTTTAACTAAACTCTAAAAAGTCATTTATCCGGGACTAAGAAAATTATATGCTTGTCTTGCCGAATCGAATCTCTGCCTTCATCTTCCTGATGAAATCCTCACATTTCTTGTTCAAATCTTCCGAACTTAATAAACTATTATTGTTAATCTCATCGTCATCATGATAACTATCCATTCTAACGATAGCGAGGTCTTGTACTAATATTCCTTCATCTTCCTTAACAACCAATGCAACTTCTTCTTCTTCTTCTTCTTCTTCTTCTTCTTCTTCTTCTTCTTCTTCTTCTTCTTCTTCTTCTTCTTCTCCTCTAAATAAAACAACTCTTCCTTCTTCTTCTTTAGAAACATTCTTTTCTTCAAGTAGTGCCACTACTTTCTTGACTATTTTTGTTTCCCTCATGTCTTTGACCCTTACTTCTTTCGTTTGTTCAACGATGTTTAAAGCTTTACCGTGCGAAAAGGATTCAGAATTCCCACGGAAACTCCCCACGATAAAGCACACAATCCCATTGCATAACAAGAACATGTACTTCTTGTCCACAAGGTTGCTATACATGGAAAGCAAATGGAGTCTTTGTTGAAGAGAAGAGATTAAGGAAGAGTAAGATAATACTATAAAAGAGAAAATGGATGCCAATGCTATGATCTTAGTGACTACTTTCATCTCCTTCACGCTTCTTTCTTGTTTTCGAGATTCCATCCTCTCTCTCTCGCTTTCTCTCCCCCTCTAATTGAGAAAAATGATGGTTGAGAAAAAGAAATTTGATGAATGAGAAGTTTTGGGGAACCAATTTCTTTTTATAGATTATTGGGTGGGTTGTGTTTGATTTCATCATTGTAGTTATTTGTCGTTTGGTTAAAACAGTTTTATTTTTCTCTTTTGAACCATTCAAACCAAATTAATCTTTTACTTCTTCTTTTTTGATTACTTCTGTTTACTTCTAAAATTTAATCTTACTTAGCTTCCATTTTTTAAGAAATATAACAAATTGTTATCGATAATATAAGAAAGAATTTCTTGAATAATATAACAGATGTTTAAAAATATAATATATATATATATATATACTAATCAAAGAAAAATAACTTAGAGCGTCTAACTATCTAAAGTCCACATCTAATGTTCCATCTCATAGAATTTCTCTGCGTTTTCTCCCTTATTATAGCTTTCACTGTCAATTATTTTTGGAAATGGTCGTATAGCTTTCTAGTTTCTAGATGCATAGTTTAATTCTGCTTAAAATATATTAATATTTAGGTACATGTCTTTAAATTTATGTTTTTATTAATCAAACATTATCCCTGTTGTATATCGAAATTAAAATAGCATTTTTAATAAATCAATTTATAACAAAATTTACTTAGAACTTGCTTAAGACACAATTTGAAATGGTCACAACTCAAGCTGTTACCTTCGACGAAAATTCTTGATTTCCTTTTTGTCAGATGCTTTTTTTTGTTTCTTTTGAAAATGTCATTAAACACGCCAAAACTAAAAGTCCTTCGTGTTTTGTCACAAAAGGCCATTGACTTACTCTATGGATGCATGTCGATCAATGTCGCGTTTCTAAAATTTCTTCTTTGTTAGGACGATTTTTTGTGGGTTGATAATAAAAATGAGCAAATGTTTTAAGTAAAAGAAATTTGATTGGGCCATCATCATCGTTATAGATTTGGATCAATGTTAAGGCGTGACGATCGTATTTGCTGCTTTGATAGCCAATTCTAACAAGAAGATTACTCAGACATAATCAATAAAACACAAATCATAATATAAATATGTTGCATTAAGAATTCAAGAGATATTTTACCAAAAAAAAAAAAAGAATTCAAGAGATAAAGTAAACGAGTTTTGAATCTTATCTGAAGGAGTCTAATTCTTCTCTCCAAACTTACTACAAAATCTCTTTTTAGTACGTAAACAGGAACATTAAAAATCTTAAATATAGTCTAAAATATATCGGAGACTTATTTTGCAAATAATAAAAGCATTGGGGACAATCGGCAAATCATCAAGACTTGTTACAAAACGTGGGAGACTTGTGGTCGCAACGGGTGTCGAGTGACACCAATAGGTGGTGTCGATCAACACTAACTCAATCGATGGTCTTCGAGTTGCTTTTCTCGGCTACACAGCTTCAAATGCTCGAATACCCGCCAAAACGTACCTAAACCTACAAAGACTCGAAAAGGCACAAAAAAATCAAAAAGACTTTAAAATAATACTTATATCATGGTTAAAAACCGTAAAAAAAAAAACATGATATATCAATGCTCTCTACCATTATCAGACCTTATGCACTTCATCTTGAGATTCGTCTAATTCTCAACCATGGCTTTCCATATCATGAACCGATAACACCTCAAATTTATTTGTCATGAAGTAAACACATACCTTCACTTAACATTTTGTCTTCTGAGTCGGATGCCCATCCTCCACTATCTGTGTCCAATGCTACAACCAGTTCTTCTTCTCGTCCCCGCTTTGCTTTTCCCTTTTCCAGCAAAGCAGCTTTCCTCTTAAAAGATTCTTCAAACTCATATATTTCTTCTAAAAAGTCATCTTCCTCAAAAGTCAATGGGATTATCGGTGTGCTTTCACAATCACCTTTGCGCTCTCTCACCATGTCTCCTGCTCCACCTTCTGCTACGACTCTGACAACATTCAAATCTGGTCCACGACTCTCGCATTGTCCCCTGGTGTTTGACACATCTCCAGCGTCTTCTTCTAAAGATAGATTCATGTTCAATCCTCCTTTTTCTAGTCTTATCTTTTTGAATTTCGACAATGAGCTCTCGCTGTCAATAGAGACAGGCGGCATCTTTTGCTGCGTGTAGACAGTGTCTCCTCCTTCGAACCAAAAACTCAGCTCCAATTTTGTCCTTTTCATGTCTACTCCAAACGCTGTGGCAATTTTCCGTTCAACATCAACAATCGTATCTCCTTCGCTTACATCTACACACTTTGCATATTTCTTTGCCGACATCTTGAATCGCCACTTCCCACTTTCTTTGCATTCCCAGCCGCTGACCAATATCATTACTCTTTCGTCCATCGGTACCTGTCGTTCTCCATTAAATACACCATTTTAGAATTTGGGTTGATTGCATTTATCACAAACAGACAAACCTAACCGTTTTTCGAAGGAAAAAAATGTTACAATAAATTTTACCTTCTTCAGCTTTTAATGTCCCCTTCTTCAACCACAACTTCAATTTCGTCCAGCATCAGTGTTTTCTCCCCAGATTTCCATTTTTTTGCAGATCTACAAACCTCTTTTATCTGCTATATCAAGAGAGCAATTAATGGTCTAACCCTACTCTATTAATATTTTTATTAATTAAATTCAATTATCTAGCACATGTAAACGTGCAGCATTTATTGCAGACATGCTCCTTCTTAGGAAGCACCGGACGAAACTGTCTCTGGCTCTGACACAGACTCTGTCCCAATCAGGGGTATTTTGGTCCACAATTCCGCATGTGTTATGGGAAAGTGGTAGATTCCGAAAGCCTTTTGAGAATGTGGTAGATTTTGAATGCCACTTGTTAGAATGTGGTAGATTTTGTGAGATTCCCGAATCAACAATTCGCCTAATTCCCCAAATTGAAAGCCATGATTCCACAGTAATCGTCTAATTTCGTCAACAAAATTGGTGAAGAAGACGATGAAAAATTGGTGAAAGAAATCAAGTTAATACCTGTTTGAAGTATCGTCGGAAATGAATATCAGAGCTCGGAAGCTCTTTATGGACCTTCACGAAGCTCTCGTCGGAAATGAATATCAGAGCTCGAAACTCTTGCCAGCGATGCCTTGTCTCACGATTCTTAATCTCGATCGGAGATTTAATTCTATTATTGTTTAAATTTAAAAAATAAAGAAGGGGCGCTATTTGTGTCCTAAGAACATTTTGGTGCTATCTGTGTCCCAAAAACTTGATTTAGTGCTATTTGAGGCAATTTCTCTTTAATATTTAATTAAAACTTTGAGTGCTATTTGTGGAACTTTTCAAAAGAGGGGCTAGTTTTGGAAGAAAAACTTTTTTGGGCTATTTATGTTAATCCCCTTTTTTAATATAAGTATAATTATATTTAGTTTTTGTGATCCAATAAATTATTATAATGTTTATTTTATTTTTGTCCCTGATATGATCTGAGTACTCTTAGAGAGACGTTTCGAACGATGCTTATGGAGGAAAAATCTGGTCATACTACTAAGAGAGTTGGGAAATTCCAAATTAGTAATTTAAATAAGCGTGGAAAGAGTGAAGATTCATCAAGCAAAAGTCTTTCTCCTGAAAAGGGGAATATACCTATAGAAGCTGACAAACAGGATTTGTTGTCAAACAAAGCCCAAAATTGCATTGGTCAGTTCTTTGATGAATCAGACCTTTCAGCTATGGATTTCCCATGTTTCAAATAAATGATGATGGCACTAGGTGGTGGTCAGAAGATCTCTGATTCTCATGATTTAAACGGCTGGATGCTTCAAGAAGCATTGAAGGAAGTACAGTTGAGCTATGGACCGTGCAAGTTTTTAGAGCTTGTAAAATTCTCAGGCAAACTCAAACCTCAAATCTTGTGTGATAATTGAACTAAGAGAAGGTGTTACTACTTTATTAATTTAGTACTAAAATTTATGTTTCTCATAACATTTTGACACCCCTTGGTTAGGTATGGCTTGTGGGATTAGGAGTTTGGAATTGGTCGTGTAGAAATGATCTTGTAGATTAGAGTTCTCTGCTCGTCTGGTTTTGACTTTGGAACTAGTTCGATGATTGGTAATATATGTAACCTTCTCTGTTTTGTTTTATATGGTATTGTAACAGAACACCAAACTTCTTGTTTTTAATACAAACACTTCTCTAAAGATGAGCAGAGATATCCTCGTACCAAATAGTCTCGGACAAGTCCTCCTCCGGACTCTTCTCTTCCACAATCTCAGCTTCTTCCTCAGCTTCTTCCTCCTTATGATTCTGCTCTTCGTGCTCTTCCTCCCTAGGCTTCTCCTCTTGTTTGAAAAATTCCAACATCTTCTCGTGTACTTGGGTCAAGTCCATTATTTTGTTGACAAGATGACTGGGTTTTGTGACGATTGGCTACTTGAGGGACTCCTGGTACACCCACGAATCAGAGGAAAAACGCTAATGTGGAATTGGAGGGTATTTGTCACTTAGAACTTCAGTCTTCTCCTTAGACTCACTGAGAATTCTCACAAAGACAAACACAAACAATAGAGGTTGAGTTTTGCAATATTGAAACAAAGATAAACAATAGTGCAGAACCGTTATGATTCAAAATGTAATTAGAGGAGAATACACAGATGAGAGTCTTACTCAGGTTGCTGCTTCTCCTTTGGAAAACGCTGATGTGGAATTGGAGGGTAATTGTCACTTAGAACTTCAGTTTCCTCCTTGGAAACACTGAGAATTCTCACAAAGACAAACACAAACAATAGAGGTTGAGTTTTGCAATATTGAAACAAAGATAAACAATAGTGCAGAACCGTTGTGATTCAAAATGTAATTAGAGGAGAATACACAGATGAGAGTCTTACTGAGGTTACTGCTTCTTCTTAGGAAAACGCTGATGTGGAATTGGAGGGTAATTGTCACTTAGAACTTCAGTTTCCTCCTTAGAAACACTAAGAATTCTCACAAAGACAAACACAAACAATAAAGGTTGAGTTTTGCAATAATGAAACAAAGACAAACAATAGTGCAGAACCGTTTTGATTCAAAATGTAATTAGATGAGAAAACACAGATGAGAGTCTTACTCAGGTTGCTGCTTATTCTTAGGAAAACGCTGATGTGGAATTGGAGGGTAATTGTCAATTAGAACTTCAGTTTCCTCATTAGAAACACTGAGAATTCTCACAAAGACAAACACAAACAATAGAGGTTGAGTTTTGCAATAATGAAACAAAGACAAACAATAGTGCAGAACCGTTGTGATTCAAAATGTAATTAGAGGAGAAAACACAGATGAGAGTCTTACTCAGGTTGCTGCTTCTCCTTATGATTCTGCTCTTCCTCCTTAGGCTACTCCTCTTTTGCAGAAAACTTGTTTTGTTTGAAAAATTCCGACATCTTCTTGTGTACTTGGGTCAAATCCATCTTTTTGTTGACAAGATGACTGGGTTTTGTGACGATTGGCTGCTTGAGGGACTCCTGGTACACCCACGAATCAGAGGGAAAACGCTGATGTGGAATTGGAGGGTATTTGTCACTTAGAACTTGAGTCTCCTCCTTAGACTCACTGAGAATTCTCACAAAGACAAACATAGACAATAGAGGTTGAGTTTTGCAATAATGAAACAAAGACAAACAATAGTGCAGAACAGTTGTGATTCAAAATGTAATTAGATGAGAGCATCTTAAATAGAGGTTGAGTTTTGTAATAATGAAACAAAGACAACCAATAGAGCATCTCCATTCTAAATGTAATAATGAAACAAAGACAACCAATAGAGCAATTCTAAAAACTCAGGTTGCTTCACCTCAATTGTCTCACTGAGAAACCCAAAGAGGAAATAGAGGTTAAGTTTTGTAATAATGAGATTGAGTATTGTAATAATGAAACAAAGACAAACAATAGTACAGAACCGTTGTGATTCAAAATGTAATTAGAGGAGAAAACACAGATGAGAGTCTTACTCAGGTTGCTGCTTCTCCTAATGAAGCTGCTCTTCCTACTCTTCCTCCTTGGGAAAACGCTGATGTGGAATTGGAGGGTAATTGTCACTTAGAACTTCAGTTTCCCTCTTAGACTCACTGAGAATTCTCACAAAGATAAACATAAACAATAGAGGTTGAGTTTTGCATTATGTTGCATGGATTCATATGATTGAAATATAGGAATTGAAGGGAGAAAAACAAAGTGACCACATACATAAAAGTGGGCACCAAAAATACAGAATCCATTCGTCGTAAGAGAGAAAATTATATACGATCTCCTGCCTAATATGAATACTAAAGATGATAGTTTAACTAAACTCTAAAAAGTCATTTATCCGGGACTAAAAAAATTATATGCTTCCCTTGCCGAATCGAATCTCTGCCTTCATCTTCTTGATAAAATCCGCACATTTCTTGTTCAAATCTTCCGAACTTAATAAACTATCGTTAATCTCATCACCATCATGATAACTATCGATTCTAATGATAGTGAGGTCTTGTTCTAATATTCCCTCATCTTCCTTAAGATTCAATGCAACTTCTTCTTCTTCTTCTCCTCTAAATAAAACAACTCTTCCTTCTTCTTCTTCTTTAGAAACATTGTTTTCTTCAAGTAGTGCCACTACTTTCTTGACTTTTGTTTCCCTCATGTCTTTGACCCTTACTTCTTTCGTTTGTTCAACGATATTAAAAGCTTTACCGTGCGAAAAAGATTCAGAATTCCCACGGAAACTCCCCACGATAAAGCACACAATCCCATTGCATAACAAGAACATGTACTTCTTGTCCACAAGGTTGCTATACATGGAAAGCAAATGGAGTCTTTGTTGAAGAGAAGAGATTAAGGAAGAGTAAGATAGTATAAAAGAGAAAATAGATGCCAATGCTATGATCTTAGTGACTACTTTCATCTCCTTCACGCTTCTTTCTTGTTTTCGAGATTCCATCCGGTCTCTCTCTTTTGCTTTCTTTCCCCCTTTAGTTGAGAAAAATAATGGTGAATGATAAGTAAAGAAAATGTTGGTTGAGAAAAAAAAAACTGATGAATGAGAAGTCTGGCGAACCAATTTTCTTTTTATAGATAATTGGGTGGGTTGTGTTTGGGTTTTTAATCATTTTAGTTATTTGTCGTTTGGTTAAAACAGTTTTATTTTTCTCTTTTGAACCATTCAAACCAAATTAATCTTTTTTTTTTTGATATAACCGATCGGCTGATCTGGTCAGCCTTGGGGAAATGCTCCGAAGTGCTACCATGTGGACTCGTCGCCAACACCTAGGTGTTGGACTACCACACTGCCTAACCCCGAGTTTGGAATATTTTTCGACTAATGCCCGAGGATATCCAGTTAGCCTAATCCCGGATACCATTTGAATTGCTTGGCCAACTTGGCCAAAACTATCTAGACTTCCCACACAAATGTGATTTTTGTTTTCAAGATGTAT